GAAGATGTCAACTTAGTTATCAATAGCTTGTTTTCCACCTTCATCGTTCGAATATGCAATGGCACATGAAAATTGCATTTGCATAAGAGGAAGGAGAGCTGAAAGGGGCACTACCTATATGACGTGCCATGCCGGGGCCATAATGTAATCCAACCGATTCCCCAGTTACCCAGCTCGATATCGGGTAACCATAAAGAAATTACGGCTGCCAGCGAACGCCATCGATAATTCAATTTTGTGCATTATTTTGGCGCTGCTCGATGATGCCCTGCCATTATGGGCTAAACAAATGTATCCTGGGGCGGAATAAACGGGTATGCCATGCTTGTATGACTATGGCTATATGCACACTGGCTCAAAGGAGACGTCGTTGCAGCCCGGCTTATTCCACTCTTTAATTTTATTGTCTGTTGCCTGGCTTTCTACGTTCTCCTTTCGCCATTCTCCGTGCGCTCCGTCTATAAATTTCATCCGCACTTTCCCCGCCACGATGGCTCAACGCTTTTCCTTCGTCTTTATGCCATGCCGTAAATAGATTTTCCTTGTTATTGTTCACAAAATGATTTAGGGAAAATTAGGTTTATGTAAATAATGAAGAACAAAGCACACAACAACAAAAAAAAGAAATGGAAGAAAAGGAACTCTCGCTGCAGGCCAAAATATCCTTGGATAGATGCCTTTGCATACATACACATGTGATCAATTTTCGGGTGTTGGCAAAGGAAAGCCGGAAGACGTTTTCCAAGGCATTTTGCAAAATTAAACCGAAGCCAAGAAAATGGTTTCAATATAGGCAGTATCCTTTAAAATCGAATTAAGCATAATTCAATGAAAACATTATGCTTGCAAAACATGTCCTAAATAAACCTACATACGCTGCCGGGATTTCAATTGTTAAGCTCTGTTTTTATAATTACAATCCTTTCTGTTTTGCCGGCAGCCGGGCCATTCATGTGTGAATAAGCTCTGCTTTTAATGTGTAATCAATCTGTTAACTTTTTTTTATATTTGCTTATATTGGCCTTTATCAGCGCAGCAATTAGTTTTGGAAAATTTATTTAAAAATCGCATTCACCATTTACGCCATTGTGCGCACACAGTTTCACCACGTAGGCAGTTTTGCATATTTATTATTTGTTTGTTCTAGGCTGCAACAATAATTCACCCTGACAGCCAATTAATCAGGAAAAGGACATTCAATTAAGGCACAAAATCAGGCTGTGTGCAAAAAAACGCATGAATAGGACAAGCTACAAAATATGTTCGCTATTATTATATTCAAATTTAATGCACCAACAAACAAGTTTTATGCAATCTATAAAGATTCGATAAGCGGCAAATTGCATAAATAATCGTATTTAATATTCTATTTTTTTTAGATCCACAAAGGCCACAACAATGGCGACAAAATATGGATGTAATAAGCTTTGATTCGGGGGTGTAACGGACCGCATAAAATCGGATGGGATTGACAGAGGTTTTATCCGGGAAAAGTGCGTTCTAATTAACTGAAAAGGCGAAATGGTAATGGTGAAAACACGCGAAAAAGTGCTTTAAAATATGTGGAAATGTGTTTACATAAAACTCAAGTGGAAAAGCGTGTAAAAGAGAAACGGTCGAAGAAAATCGCGCTGGGAAACGCCGGGGAAAAGACAAACAAAAATCTAAAAAATACAAAAAAGAACTGTGTCAAACGTCAACGACTTTTTGTTGCTGGATTTTCATGACGCGGCAAATTGTGCGAGTTAATGTTAATGCGCTGAATTAGCTTAGAATGGGCGTCCCCCCGTTGGAGTTACAGCGATTTTTTCATTTCAGCTTTTCTAATTGCCCACAAACATGCTCTCTCCGTTTATACATTTTTCATTGAAAATACCAGAACGCACTATGTAATTGCTATTTTTGGTGCAACCCATATCAGTTTCTACTCTTCAAGTATTTATGTTTAAAGTTGTGTATACAAGCTCACTGATTAGAAACCGCCGATAGCGTAAAACACACATAAGCCCCGTCCCCGGCAGTTTGTCATAGTCAGCCGTGAGTCAGATATATCGGTTCAAGATACAGATATTATTTACAAGCCCCTCTGCCGCAATTAGAAGTACCCACGAAAACCTTCTGTTAATGAGGGACGGGTTCCTTATGACTGTAAGATCAGTCAACTGTATGAGGGCAAACCTAATAAAAAGCCCATGAAAGTACGAGTATCCGAAACCAGTTGTGAAACAATGAATGCCCCAAAGACGGAAGCTTCGGAGAAACCTTCGCGGCAGTTTCGAAATTCTTTCGACGGAGTAATAAACTATCTGTAGTCTACTTAAAGTTCCCGCCAAATGTACTTGGCTCACTGATCGGATTTCTTAAAAGGCACAGACAGAAATTCTAGGATTTCTTCTAGATAAAAATTTCATTGCATTTTAATAGGTACAAAATTAAAAAAAAAAAAAACAAATTAAAACATACAAAGATGTAAAAAACAAATAATATTCCAAAAAAATTATTTTCTTCATACAAAGATTCGAAAAAAAAATAATATTAAAAAAAATATTTTGTTAATTATATAAATCTTTTCTCTTACTTTCGCGTTTCCATTACTTGAAATAAAATTAAATAGGGATCTTATAATCAATCCTATTTTGTTGCAGTGTACATTTACCTAGCCGGCTGATCACAAGCTCTTTACTAAGCGTCGAGCTAATTGTTTACACCTGACCGAGGTGGTTTTGCTTAGCTTGCGAGCGGATTTCTGGGTTTAATAGACTACGATATGCTCGGAGTCCAAGGTAATTTGAATGCGATACTTCGAGCTGGCTGATATTCGTATCTTGCGAGCGATAAGATAACTGCAAAGCTCGTCAGGTTTCTTTTATGTTTTGCAGTTTTATAGTTTCCCGAACTAACGGAATAATCTTTTTCTTACCGCCCCCCACCCCCCCGAACCGCCCATCATTTTAATTGCTTCCCACTAAAAACAAAACGAGGAAAACACAGAAAGAGAGAGGCGAGAATTGTAGAGAGAGATAGAGAGAGAGAACGGGGGAATTTATAGTCACTGCCTCTTTTCCGCCACTCTGTTTTATAATTAAACATGTGAGGTTAGGATAGCGAAAAAATAGCGAGAAAATAGAGCAAAGGTATACGATGCGGGCACCGTTGGAATATCAATTATACGCACCTTCGAACCGATCTGATTGCCGCACTGGCCCGCCTGCAGATGAACGATTTCCCTCATTTCGCAACTGATTTACTGACTTAGCAAGCCCCTCAAGCCGAATTTAACTCAATTGAACACAATGACGCACACACGCACTATCAGCAATTATCGGTACGGTCGCTATATCAATCTGAATCCCAATCGGACACGCACACTCGGCTGAATTCGGTTAGTCCGGGGAAGAGTTGGAAGAAAGCTTTTCGGAGCAGAACGATCGACGCGCGTTCGCTTTGAGAATCCAACGTGAACTGACTGCCCGGCGAGCGACCCGCTGGGGGAATTAGTGCTCTATGGCCAAAGGGGGCGGCATTAGTTCCCTCACTTGGAAAAAATATTGTTTACATTCACTAAAAGCGGTTTCTTTAAAAGGAAATTTTACTTTCTAATAGTTTTCAAATTTTAATCGATCAATTTCAAAACAAAGTATTTTTATGAAATTCGTTTAAAGATAATTTCATTGAAATTATTTTTAATTCGTGTACAAAAATTTATTTTTTCAATAATATGTTATAGTTCCAAATTTACAAATTTTATATAAAATCGAATCGGAAATCTAAAGCACTTATTTAGTAAGTTGTAATACAACTAAAGCTATTATTTTGAACGCAGCTGTATGTACCTACAAATGCTCATACTTTAGGGTTTTTATAAAACAGGTTATTTTTGTAAACAAGTTATTTTATTTGCTAACAGAATAAAAGGTTCGTTGTTACAATTTTGCCTATAACTGTTGAATAAAAAAGAGAGTACGGAATTTTTAAAATTTAAGAAATGATAATGATCATAAATAAATCAGCAGGTGACTTCTTTTTTAAATCCCATCGATTATGATATATTTTTTTTAATCATGATCATGAAATAAGGGAATATATTTCTTATAGTGCAGAGAGCGCGAAGAGCAGAGGTTGGATGTACAATAGTTGAAGTGAAACTGTGACACAGCGAGATATTTTCACTGGCAGCGTGTTTTGTGTTGTTTCCCGCTTTTCCCGCATTTCCCCCTTTTCCTCTGATTTTTACCGGCGGCGGCGCCAACGTTGCACCTTTTTTCTCTCATCTTACGCTTCGCTGAGCGTATGAGAAAACTTGGGAAAAACAGAGCAAGAGAGCGGGAGAGAGAGTGCCGAAGAATGAGGTGATGGCACGTGAGTCTAAGGTGCAAAGAGCGGCACATTCTACATTCTACAAATGTCTTCTTCTACCTGAGCTTGTAGAATTGCAGTGCACCTACAAGACGGGCATTACAAGAATGTAGCTTTACAGGAGAGTAAATGTCATTATCTTTACAATACTTACAACAATGCATTTTCTTACATAATTGCAATAATGAATCATACTTTGTATATAACTCTGAGACTAATCTACATGATTAAATGGAAGCACATTAGTTTAAATCAGTTCAAGACCAAAACATTAAACTTACATATATGTACACAAATGTAGGTCAGCTCAAACTTAGATCGATCAGCTTTATAAGATTTCATAGCAGATAGCATACCATATTTGTTTATAAATCTTGTTTACTACACACTTTATAGAAGCTTAAGCATGCATGATCATAATAGTATTCCCAATTAAAACCAATTATAATGTTTAAATTGGGCGTTGGCAAATGACTTCTTTTTGATCTGAAAAACTCATGCTTTGAGGTTCCGTATGCGGAATAATACAAAATTAATTTAATTAGTGACCCTTGGTCAGCAAAGATTTAAAACGTTTAAGGTTTATTATTTTTAATTTAACTTTTTTCGGAACTTGATTCATTTTCTCCATAAAGTAGTTGCATTTACTTGAAGCCCAGATCCCGAACAGCTTTTATGACGAATTTAGAATAGTGACGTACACTCATAAATATATCGGGCTTGGCGTTGTTGCCGCATTTATAGGTCCACGTGCTGACGCCGCAAACTTGCTGGCGGAACATCAAAGGTCCGCCGGAGTCTCCGGCGCAGAGGGTCCTGCTGTTATAGCCACCGGCACATATGACATTCTCTGGTAAGGAGAGCTTCAGTTGTCTCTCGCAAACGCCCTTATCCACAATGGCCACCCGCATGGAGCGCAAGGTACTCTTATCCGAGGTCCTGCCACTGGATCCCCAACCGGCGACCGTGAGTACATCGCTGGGATAAAGAGGCGATTTGCAGACTTGAGCGTAGCCAATGTACTTGCTCCTCAATGGATACTTTATCTTGGCCACCGCAATATCGCCGATAAAGCTCTCCTTATCAAAGTCCGGATGAATTCGCAACCCGACAAGCCGGTTCTTATGGAAGAGCTTTTTGTGGCGATCGAACTCCCTCGTCTGTCCTCCAATTACGTGGAACTCGCTTAAGGTCATGTTATTAAAACAATGGCCTGCCGTAATGAAGTGCCGTTCTGTAATGAGTGTTCCCGTGCAGACGAGCTTGGTTTTATAGAACAATTGCACCCCCATTCCACCGAGGGCACCGTTGGTAATCTCCTTGCCTTTGAAGATCCTCGGTTGGATTCTGGGAGCCGGTTCTTCATCTAGGTCAGATCCTGTTCCAGCGGAGACTAGTAAAAGCAGCGAAGCAACTATAACCCAACTTGGTTGCATGGCTTTCAAAGAGGGAATGCTTGGCTAACATTCTTTAGAAAGTTTCTCTGAATACCTTGAAATTGATTCGATTCTTGAAAAAAGTCTACAGTGACTTGGAAAATTATTCGGTTTTCTAAAAAGCAAAAATTATAAAATCAAAAAACAAATTTCTAATCAATTTATTTTTGCTTTTTTGTTTGTTTAAAAAATAATCAAAGCTAATGAACAAAAAAATACAAAAAAACGGTAATTTATTAGAAATGTGTCAAAAATTAAATCTAAATAAAAAACAAATAAAACTTTAAGCAAATAAATTTTGTCTAGAGTCAAGTTAGAATTCAAGCAGTGGATGTCTTCTATTTATGAAGAAGTTCCGCTGGCCAATGGGATTCGGGCCGTGACAGAGGCGTCTTCGAGTCGATTACGCGAAAAGTTCTCTGTGTGAGTGGAAAGTTTAACCCATTTTCCTTTGAGAATTCCCATTGGTCTTTTTGTGGAATCGCGGCACGTTTTGTTGCCAGTACATTTGCGGTTATGTGCTCATTGCAGGCTCACACACGCACACACACGCACAGCCAGACATATTTATGTGTGTGTGTGCGTGCGGCTCTTGCCAAATTGTCGATTTTATTATTTGTGTTTATATGATTTTTCAGCTGTTCTGCATTTTAAAGGAAGCCGGAAAATGGAAAAAAGAAGGGGGATTTATCCAAGTGCCGAGTGCCACAAAATGCGAGGCGCGTCTTCAGCCTCATTTCTTATTATAATGTGAAAAATATCCTTTTACAAATTCAAAACGTTGAAATGTGCGATTTCTTTTGTTGCCGATTTTAACGGCCGGATAGAGAGATTCCAATATACATATATGTGACTGTGTGTTCATAGGACCCGCGTGACTGTCCGGATCACGTCCGGATTTTGCATGTAGTTTACGAACAGAGATATTCATCAGTGGGTATTGAAATATTTCGGCACATCACTGGGTGGCAATTTTCTAACATTTTTGGCCTGCAAACTCATCGTTGTCGCCCGCCGGAGGAGTCGATATAAATTGCTTTTTGATTCAACTCGCTATGGTATTTGCAGACTCTCGAAATCACTGAATTTCTATTCCAAAAAATCATTCAATTGGGCATTGAAATGCACTCGAAGTTTCTAGCAAATCGGATGATACTAAAGGCTTCAGCTGGAATACTTGTGGTGAACTAATATCCACATGAAAAATAATACTTAATTACTTTTTTTTGAGTTAAAAGGCGCTTTTTTATTTAAACAGTTTGTCAAACTCAGTTCTTTTATTAAAATTAACTATTTAGTTTATATCATAAACAAGCCATCGATACTAAAAATATATTTTTTTTGTCTTCGAACTAATTAACATTTAATTTGCAATAATAAATTTAAAAAAGTGTTACATAAATCATTTTAATGTCCACCTATAGAAATTTATTTTCTTAGTTTGGACAAAAAAAAAATTGTCTATATTGCGATTGAATTAGCAAATAAAATAGTTATTATAATTGATATTCGCTGTTTTTTGTGAACCATTCCAAGAAGTATTTTTAATGCCAAAAGGAAAATAAAAGTAGTTTTTTAGCTTTGAAAAATAAATATTATTTTCTCTTTTGAAAATGCCTGAACATTAGTGGCATTAGTTTCGAAAAAAATGCATTTCGATTGCTTATTTGCTTATGTTTTTACAGCATTTTTTGTGGGCATCATAAAAAAAGGAGTTTTCAGTTGCATAAAACCCATTGCAGCGAAGCTTTTATTAGTTTAGTTTTCGAAATTAAACGTATTTGCATGTCAGGCTGTCACACACACACACACTCACACACGAATTTCATTCCGAATAAAAAACTTTGTCATTTTGTGTGATCCTATATTTGTATGTTATTGTGTGTGTGTGTGTCTAGTTGATGTATTTTTTGCAGTTGGCGAATGTTATAATATTGTTGCATGATGCCTTTGGTGTCTTTTGTCGACGGTTTGGTAATAGTTGTTGTTGATTTGCTTGGCTTTTGCCTGCTACCACTGCCGAGTGTACAATTTAATTGCTTTTTGGGTTTTTGTTGGTCGCACTCGCCAGTATGTGTGTGAATATGACGGAACTGGTTGTCGTCTAACAATTTTTAGAATTGCACCAGAAGGCGGAGTGGGCGGAGTCAAAGAAAATCCAGTTGAAATTTCACGCCGCAGAGCTACAGAGTTGGAAAGGAAAAAGGAAGGCAGTCATGTCTGCTACAATATTTTGCTTTTAACTTAAAATCTAAAGTTTAATTGTCATTGCATGTAGATGTGTGTGCACAAGGAAAAATTATTCAATTTCTCAACATTTTTACATAGAAAAATTTATATTTTCTGATATCCCAAATTTAGGAAGAATTAAATAATTTATAATATGTCTAGAAAAAATGTGTATTATAAATTAAACATCACTATGGACGGCAGTCCATGTAGTGACGAAGCGCACCAGGAGAGTGTGCGAAGGCGACTACTATTATATAGCCGCAAAATTGAAAATCTGCTGTGATAGTCCGATCGTAATGAGTAATACACCAATCGAAAGGTATTGCAATAACTTAAAGGATTGCATACCAAGACTTTAAGAAAATCAATTGGCTTGGGAGAGAGAGCGATGAAAGTGAAAAATTGAAAATTTCGAAATTTGGAGCTGTTGGGGCCGGTGGGGATAAATGCCCCCTCGCAATGTTTTAGTTGTATTCCTCTTGAAAATACCCGTCGAATGAGGGATCATTTGTCAAAATCCGACTCTCCGTTCAAAAGTTATAGCCAAAATAAGATTTTCTTCTTCTTCCCAAAATGAAAATTAATTTCTGTTTGTCAGTTTGTCCACTTGTCCACTTGTCCAAAATATGTTTTTTAAGTTCTGAAAATTTGATATGACGTTCATCACATCGATATAAAAAACTTTTGTTCTACCACTTTTGGAAAAACCCGCTAGTTTAGCGGGAAAACAGCTATAAATAGCTAAAATTCGGAAAGCCGTAACTTCTATACTACTAAAGCTACAGGCTTGTGCTGCATCTCGTTTGAAAGGTATTTTTAAATGCTATAAACGCCTTCTATATGCAATTTGTGTAAATGTAATAATTAAAAAGATATGAACAAAAGACAATTTTTTAAAACTTTTTTTTTAGCTTTTTTTTATTTTTCTCAAAAACGGCTCGAACGATTTTCTTTAAAACCTTAAACTGTATAGCCCTTGAGATTCCTTAAATTTTGGTATATAACACATTACTGTAAAAAGTCACGTTTAAAAGTTATTTTTATACGAAAATAGCCACTTTTGCCAGCTCGAACAACTAAAGCTTCCTGAGTATTGAATTTTGTGTGAGGGTATCCGAACTGTATTTTAGGGTCATGGAATCAGTAAATTTGCACTTAAGAGTTCCATATAGGAATCTTTTGTTCTACGACTTTTGGAAAAACCCGCTGCTTTAGCGGAAAAAAAGCTAGAAATAGCTAAATTTCGTTAGTTTGTAAGTTCTACACTACTGAAGCTACAGACATGTGCTATACCTCGTTTAAAAGGTATTTTGAAATACTTAAACGGTTTTTAACTTAATTTGTTTAAATACAATGGTTTACAAATTATGATTGACCAATTTAAATTTAAATGTATATACCAGCTCCTATGAGAGCAAATATAAACAAACAAAAACTTCTGATATCAAATAAAAACACCTCTTAACGAGGTAAAAAACTAGTGACGATCGCACCTTCAACATACAAAAGTTCTGATATCAACATTTGTGACGAAAAATTATTACACTCGTCATTAAATAGACTTTCTAATATTTTCTCATTCGGCACGCTGCAATAGAAAATGCCTGTAAAGGGAAAAAGGCTGGAATAGAGTGCTAGGGCGGGCCGAATGAGAAAATATTAGAAAGTCTATTTAATGACGAGTGTAATAATTTTTCGTCACAAATGTTGATATCAGAACTTTTGTATGTTGAAGGTGCGATCGTCACTAGTTTTTTACCTCGTTAAGAGGTGTTTTTATTTGATAGAGAATAAAGATAAATTAATAAGTAAATAATGCTTAAATGCTTTTGACATAGCTTCGATTTTATTTTCAAAGAGAGCCTAAATAAATAACCATCAATTATGAGGCTTTCGCCCATACCTAATAATATCATTACGACTCCAAAAATATAGCCTGCACAGTTCTTCAGACTTAATATGTCAAGGATTTTATATCATTAGATAAATACTTCAAATATTTTGGAACTAGTAAAAAAACTTTAAAATTTCCTTAATAAATCCTTTCCTTATATCGTATTATTTTAGTTCATGTTCCCATCTTTCAGTGTTTCTCACTCACTCTTTATCATTGCCTGGTGTCAACGGAAGCCGTCGCAGTGTTTGCTAGGTGGCTGCCATCGAAATTCCGGATTCAACAGCAAAGTAACCAAAATGCAATTGTTTTGCAATTGGCATTTTGACCACATTCTGACACCCCAATATGGCCATATGGCAATAGCAATGGCAATGGCAGCCACTGTAAATTGCGAAAAACTAAATATGCACAGACATGCGCAAATGTGTGTGCGAAGTTGGCGTAATTTAGTTAGCATTTCAAATGTTTTTCCATTGCCAGGCATTAGGAGGCATAGGACATTTTCTGTCGATATGCCGAAAAATTCTTAATTGAAAATGAATTTGGTTTTGGCAAAGTGTGCTGCTAGCTGCGTTCTGCTGCCGAATCTTTTTTGCGATGCCTTGTTTTGCTTTCTACTAATTCGGATTGTTTTGTGTTTTATCTGGATGTGATGGCAGTTCGAACAGATCGGAGGGGTTGCGTTTTCCATGGTTTATCCGATATCGATGGGCAGTTCAGTGGGTTGGTTTTGTGCACAGTTTTTGGGGTCTGTTGGCTGACATTTGCATATTTTTCTGAGCCTGCAGACGAGTGCTGTTATCCTTTGGCACAGCTGCGCTCCTCTGTTTACTTAGTGTCGCTGAATCTGTATCAGAATCTGAATGTGAAT